CCCCCCCCCCCGTGATAAGTTCGCCTTAGGGTGCCATAAGTCAGAAATGACTTGAAGACATTAACAACAACAAACAATCCTAAGCCCACTTGTAATTCTCATTGAACATAATGGGACTTCAGTCAGAATAGACATGCATGAGATTGTGTTGCAAGTGGAATTAAGAATGCCAACTGCCCCTAAGGGTGATGGAAAAGGAGAGCTAAAATTATATATCTGTACATCAGAGAAGGCAACCAATTTATTATAAAATGAATTTTATTTCTGACACAGTGGAGTAACAAAATACAAGATAATATTCAACCATATGGTTTGTTAAGACAAGGATCGATGGGAATAATTATGCAGATATATACTTGATAATGAAACATTCTGTATGGCTCAGATTAAAATAAAGAGTCTTTAGGCCCTATTAACATCCAATGGATGGGTATGTCCCTAATCGAAACCAGTACAATCAGTAATATGTGTTCCCTCAATATTATCCAACATTTAATTTACAAACACACATCATTTACTCTGGATTTGACTTACTACAAACTGCACAGGATACCACAGAATAAGCACTAAATTGCTCCATTTTCTTTAAAAACTTACAGGGCAACTCCATGTAAACTGGGGGACATAAGACATAATTTCTGAAAGGTGCCAGGGCTTTATCTAATCTGCCTAGGCTCTGATGCACACAAGGAATAGGAGTTCATCCACACTGTGGAAATACTTTGGTTTGACACCATTTTAACTGCCATGGCTCAATGTTATGGAATTCTGGGAACTGTAGTTTGTTGCCACAACAAACTACAATTGCCAGAACAAACTACAATTGCCAGAACTTCATAGCACTGAGCCTTGGCAGTTAAAGTGGTGTCAAACCGGAATATTTCTACAGTGTGGATGCAGCCTAGGTCCTCATACAGCAACAAGGAAGCACAATTTTACACAGTAATGTTTCTTTATATGATCAGAAACACTCTTCTTTACACATCTGAACAATAACTCAGAAAAAAAGCCACACCTGTAAGCCTTCTCTTGTTTAGGAGTGGTTGCAGGTCTAGCAACTGGCCAACTCATACACCCTATAGCCCTCCTAAGGATTTTAACCCACTGCTTGGAAAGCTGGAGGGAGACTTTAGCTAGCATTCTGTTAGGGCCTTTACAGACTGCCAGAAATAATGCAGCTTGAAACCAC